TATGTATATATGTGTATATACTGTATGTATAATATGCTGAGGGTTCAAGCAGAAAAACAAACCCCAGGCATAATTAAAATGTCTCAAAATACTTTTTTGGTGCTTCTTCCAGTTCTACAAACCTGCAAAGAGCCTGCAACTTTTGATGCAACTGTATGGATGGGCCCTAACAAACCAGAGAGGGGGTCACCACAGTCCTGAAGACCACCCAAGCAAGACAACAGTGATTTGGTGAGTCTGATGTTCCAGTCGTTTTTAGAGCTTAGTGACATTAGTGAAGGTAGCAAACCTTCAGATGATAATTTCCTGTTTGAGTTTTAAACAACCATTGGTCTGGGTATGACGATTACATAATACCATATGTTTTAACAGAGTCCAGGAAGGATGGAGTGGATGGAGAAATGATTTGTGAGCGATTTGTGGCAAAAAGGGTGGCAGCAAAGGTCAAAGGCAAGGTCTATGAGAAAGTAGTAAGACAGTGGTGTTGAAAAAAAGACTCTTTCTCCATTGTGGATGTGTTAGGAAAGACAATATTGGTGCCATTTGAACAATTTTTTGTTTTATAGACCCTGTTATGGTTAAACTTTGTGACAGAGAAACTTGTAAACGATGTCAAAGAACAAACTACAGTTGTTTTAGGACCAAACTTTATGCATCACTTTGCTCCTAAAGCATGCAATTACAGCATGTAATATTTGTATACAATTTTAAAACTGACCACAGTATGACTTATATGTTCATGTTACAAACACATTTTCATATTCTGTTGCTAGAAGCAGAAAAATGAAAATTCCTTGCCTCTGCCAGATTGTGCAAACAGCCTTTGCAGGCTATGACAAATTTGATTAATTGAATTCTGTCTCTGTTTTCCAACCACAACAACACAGATGAGAAACAATAATAGTGTAGATTTCAGCAGTTGCTGGCCTGGATTTTGTCATCTATGTACGCTGGAATTTAAAATAGACTAAACAAACTTGCTTAGACATTTTATATGATTTTAATACAAACAATGTTTTCCCTTGCAGTCACTGACACAAACAAAAGTACAAGAGATGATGAATGTGGAACGGTTTCTCACTCTACATTTCTCTCACGTACTCAAAGCACTTTAAAAGTTGTGTTAAAAACTGTGATGACACTGAGCTCCTGTTACTTGGGGGAAGAGGGAGGATCCAAAGTTAAGAAATAAGAGAAAGAGCCTCTTGTGGTAGAAAAAGTGTCTTTAGGTCATTTAGAGGTGGGATGCTGTCCTCTCAAATGCACCTTCCATTTGTCAGAATTTTGGCAAGTCGCACACACTGAGAGGCGTGTGCACAAGCAACACAACGTGACAAAAGCACTGTGTCACCCATTTCAGGCATCATTACGCTACACAATGTCCCAAAGTTGTAGCAGATACAATTTCCCACACTTTAACCAGAGAAACTAGCCAAATAGAAATAAACAAAACCATTTGCAGAATCAAGATGCTCTGCATTACAGCAGAAGGTCATGTGAGGATAGTTTGATTGCACGCTCTCCCTCGTTAACAGGTCTGTAAAAAAAAACAAACGTAAAGAAGGAAACAAATGACTCTGTCTTTTTTGAAGCTTGTGTACAGCATGCAGCTCACATCCAACCACTGCTGCTGATCATTTCAGAACTCTCCTGTTCTACTTTTTGTTTCTCAGCTGTACATTAGTTTTATCCTGCTGAAGCTAAAGTCAGACATTTRTTTGCTCAGTGCTGTGCACATTTTGCTAAGTGTTGCCTACTGTCTGCTGTGGCCAGAAGCTCGCTCAATCTAATTTCTCCACAACTGCAAATCRCCCTCTCAGATTTAACTAAATAAACAGTCCTGCTGTTTTGTCGAATACAGTTTACMGAAGGCACGGTCTCACTGAATTGTCTTAAATAAAGGAAAACCCAGCGCTATAAAAAACAATAAAACTGTCATTCTGTGAAAAACAACATCAGACAAACCTAAGTTAACAGGACTTTTATATATTTTGTGCTATTTAAACTATTCCATTGTCAAACCATTCTGCTAATAAGCAGTAGTTTGCTTTGTTTTTGTACTTTTTGAATTATTTAACATTATTCACAATAATTTTCCACCACAAAAAAAGATATCTTTGATTCCTTTGAAAAGCATTTTTGTGTATTAAAATATTTTGGTTTAGCTTATTTTAGCTTTAAACTTTATTTTTTTGCTACCTTGAGCTTTGAGCTATAGTTTTGAAAAGCTTTACTTTGAGCTACAATTTTGCTTAGAGTTTTTCTTTTTGCCAACATTATTTTAAGCTTTTGGCTACAGTTTTGATAATTTATAGCTCTTTGCATGTAAACAGTCTCTGGAAATGGAGGAAAAGTTAGAAAGCTGTGTTTTTCAAATCTGCTGTAGTTTCAATTCCAGGTCACTTGCTGGCTCTGTGATTGTTGACTTTTAACACGTGCATTCATGCCGACACTTTAGTTTTGAGCATCAAAGCTGTTAGATCCAAAATGCAGATTACACTATGGTTTGTTTGGACTGAGCATGGTGCAGGGTTGCTTCCACATTTTGAAAAGGATTAACAGCACAAAAACTCTATCTGCCATAGTTACTGCCATACATCTGCTTATGGTGCTTAGGTGCAGAAAAAACTATTACAGCTGACTGTGTGACTGTGTGTACGAACAATTTCACACTAAAAAACTGAATTTAAGAAGCTTTAATGTCAGAGAAAACACCTGCTGTTTTTATGTACAGAAATGACCAAAGCGCAAAAACATTTTGTTCAATGCTCATCCAGACATGGAAATTGCTGAAAGCTCATTTTATACTCCCATACTTTTCTAGACTGTAAGGACCCTGTGTGAACACATTTCAACTGGTTTAAAAGCTAAAGTGAACCTGGCATTTAGTCCACTAGTTTTCTTTAATACCCTGTTCCATTCTGTGTGATATGGATGGCCTCCAGTTACCTTCCTCTTGTGCTATGTCCAGAAATATTACAAGAAAAAAAAGAATTTCTATTTGTGACTTAAACTTACTAAGCTACAGGCATCTTTCCAGTTCAAAATCAATCTTTTTATATATGGTCTTTTATATGTGTTTAAGGGTAGGAGAACTAAAATATGAGTTTGGCCACTCCCTTTTATTATTGCTGGGTTTAAAACATAACAGAAAATCTGTGACCAGCATGTCGATACAAACACATATGTCATAATCACCACTTGCAGCAGGCCGGTCTTTTCAGTCTCATTAGTTCAGGTTTCGGTATGAGTGACTTTTGAAAGTTAATCTTAAAACGGAAAGAACAGGTTTCCAATTTTCTTTGCAGCTCGAAGAGGTGATGTGGGAGGAATTTATACAGGAAGGTAAGATGGGCTGAGGGGAACAGAGAGAGACAAATGCTGAATGTACATGAGAGGATGACTCAGTGGAGGGAGCTAGAAGAGTGAGGACAAAATCTGAGTGTGAAACAAAAAAAATAGTGTTGAACATCATTTGTGGCTTCGTGAAAGCAGCTACATGAATGTGTTGTGTTTTTTTTACTTCTGTTTGTGTGGTTTAATTGCCATTTCTTCCTCCTCTTCATTTTCAGTGTCGCTTTCCACCGTATGAAAAATTCAGTGGGGGCAAAATGCAGGGATGTCATGCTGTTGTATCTGCTGAAACAGATCCAGTCTCTGACAGAGTTTTTGAATAAGTCATCAATGTGACAATGACAGAAGCTGGAAACTCAGTTTGAAACCATAAAACTAAAAAATGATCAAATCTACCTTCTGCTTTAATTTGAAAAARACAGGGCATAGAAAATGGATTTAACAGAATTTCCTCAAAAATAAAAACTTGTACAATAGACTATATTTTTGTGTTTCAGTGTTTTTAAGAACAAAATGCTGATGATTACCTCAACACTAAAAAAACGATGAGTAAAATAAGAAGTATGAAAGATAGAACATGTTTGCTAAAAATGAGAAGGGTTAATTTAAAGATTTAATTGACAGAATCTCTGCTTGCTCATGAGAATTTCAGAGTGCTGAGTGTGCGAGTACTGATGGGTTTGCATGATTAATTATTCATTTTTCGTTCACTTCTGACAGTGAACGCCCTTGTCATTTTATTTTTAAAAGTTTGCACATTTGGAAAATTTGAAATGTATTTTTGTATCTTACAAACTAAACATCTAGGCTTAATCATGCTCTGCTGAAGGTGAGCATATAGAAAAAAAACAGGTCTCATGTTTTCCGCTACCTTAAAAAGTGCAAACCCTGCCTTTGTTACAAACCAGCTGAATAAGGTCATTAAGCAAAACAATATAAAATGCTGAAAACAGATTAGTCATTGTTACACGTTGTTGAGTATTTATTTCACCCTGGCTTCTATTGCGTTAATTATTTTTATAATGAGATAGAGAATTTATCCCGACAGTTTCGGTAATGAGCCAACAGGCCACCTGGTTCTTTTTTCTTTCCCAATGATTATCTACCGTTGTTTGGTTTGTTTTAGGTATGTGATGCTATCATGGTTTACTGCTTCCCCACATGTCAGAACAAAAAATGCAGCCAGATGAACTTTTTGCAAAAGACTGCAGACTTGATGTGTATGATCAATTCTGGTGTGTTTTTATGTGGTTCTAGAGAGCACTAACCCATTTAACCCCACCAGTCACAATAGTGACCATAAAATTTAGTTTTGTCTAGGGCTCCATAAATCTTAGAGTAACTATTCAATTACTATTTAGTAAGTATTGAAGTAATACAGTGTTTGGATACAATATATACTTAGAATCAAATGTTTAGAGTGAACTATCACATGACCAGAGCTGCTTACTTCCTGGTTGCACCATAATGCAAGGATGGCTGTGTTTCAATTCATTGGCTGGGTCCTAATGAGGACCCAGCCTAGCTAGGCCACGTGGGCCACATCCTTCCTGGGCCGGGTAGGCTGCTCAAAACTGCTGTGAAATGAGACGGTCTACCCTTCGTCTGACGTCGGTTTCACGTGAGTTTGCGTGCTCCCCCGTTACCATAATGATCAGTTTCATAAATGCGCCGGGATGTGTATTTACACATCTTTATTTACACGTCTTTTTACTGGAAGAATAACTTCACAGTTAAAATGTTACATGTAAATAAATAACAATAAAAAAACATTAATAATTTGGGTTTAGCTCCAATATCTACGACGGAGTATTAGGGCCACGCAATATTTTTTTTATTATTACAACAATGAAGTC